GTCCATCGGAGAGAGAGAAAGAGACGAGACGACGCATCGACGATCGATCGCACCCAGAGTGTTAAGCTAGATTTTTCAATGAAAAGAGAGAGCATTCCACTATTGCAGCCAAAATCGAGTACATACAAAGGAATAAAATATAAACATATATATATATATATGTTGGTTAAATATAATACAAAACACAGACATAAAAAAACAAATGAAAAGTGAAAAAGAAACGAAATGAAATATTAAATTAAAATACAAATATAGAGCCAATTTGTATATTTAGTTTCTTTCCTTTTATTTCATTTTTATCTCTCCCATTGTATTGAAGTGAAACGCAAAATATATTCGTCGTCGTCGTCGACGAGGTAAAAATGACTGCAATAAATTGTATATAAAAGAAGAAATTTTTAAAGATATTATTTTACATGGGGTGAAATTCTAAATCTCAATATAAATCATCCTGCAGTTAACCCGGGTGACACAGTTGGAAGTAGATTTCTTCCTTTCTTTTGGATTATTTCAAAAGTCTCTCTCTCTCTCTCTCTCTCTCTCTCTCTCTCTCTCTCTCTCTCTCTCTCTCTCTCTCTCTCTCTCTCTCTCTCTCTCTCTCTCTCTCTCTCTCTATATATATATATATATATATATATATATATATATATATATATATATATATATACTAGCTGTCGTACCCGTCTTCGACGGGTTGTAGTTTCTGATAATGCAATTAACAGTGTATCTACCAACCTAGACTTTTTATTATCAAATTAGTTATTTTTAACTAATTCAAATGCAGAAAACAATATTTCTCAATTTGTAGTACTTCAATCAATATAATGTATTAAAATAAATCTAAAATTTCCTCCAGTTTTTTGAGTTATAGTACAGTCTAATTCGAACTAATTGTATAGCAAGTAGATCCAGTTTTTCTCGGTTACATTAAATTCCCTGATATTTTACGTCTTTTCTGGTTGGTAAACACCCTGTTAAATGTATTATTAAAAAAAACCCGTCCAGTAAACTCTCTCTCTCTCTCTCTCTCTCTCTCTCTCTATATATATATATATATATATATATATATACTAGCTGTCGTACCCGTCTTCGACGGGTTGTAGTTTCTGATAATGCAATTAACAGTGTATCTACCAACCTAGAAAACCGGAAAATAGCCGGGAATTTGATTTGACAGGGAAAAAATAATAATTAGTTACTATTGTCTATTTCATTAGGAAAATAATACCATTTGAAACAGTGACCGACTTTTTATTATCAAATTAGTTATTTTTAACTAATTCAAATGCAGAAAACAATATTTCTCAATTTGTAGTACTTCAATCAATATAATGTATTAAAATAAATCTAAAATTTCCTCCAGTTTTTTGAGTTATAGTACAGTCTAATTCGAACTAATTGTATAGCAAGTAGATCCAGTTTTTCTCGGTTACATTAAATTCCCTGATATTTTACGTCTTTTCTGGTTGGTAAACACCCTGTTAAATGTATTATTAAAAAAAACCCGTCCAGTAAACCAGGAAAAATTTGGACAAAGCCGGAAATTGTTTTAAACCAAAATAAACACCGTGTTTAACTTTTGTCTTTACATTGATCAAGATATCTCTAAAAGTTAAATCAGAGAGCCCACAAATACTACTGAATTAAGCTTCATAGCAATTGGTATCAATTATAATTTTTTCAATTTTTTGATATTCAAAACATTTTTATACTTACATCTTCGTTATAAGAAAGTATTTTTGAAAAATTATGCTAAAATGTGACTAAATAACATGTAATACTCAACTATAGAAAGTTTAGAAGCAATCCATGAAAAAATATAAAATTTAGAAATGATTTGTGTTAAATAAATTTATTTATTAGAGTCAAGTATTTATTTAATTAATCCAATTAAGATTTATTTGATTCAACTAAATAAAATTATTTAAACGAAATAAATTCTTATTAGATCGAAATAAAAACTTTTTAAATAAGATATTATTTTTCAAATAATTATAATTACTTGAATCATATAACTTTTTTTAGTGTAGCTATAGTAAACTAAAAGTTATTAATGTGAACGAACATTATCTATATTAATAAAATCAGATTACTATCTGTACATTGCTCCAAACTTGAAAATTTTTATATATTTTTTCGTTTTGAGACATTAGAATTCTAAAAATGTAAAAAAAATTTCTGTCTGTCTGTCTCTGTCTGTATGCAAAACTTTGTTCGCGCATCAATTGAAAACGGTTCAACCAATTAAAGTGAAATTTGGCAGTCTTTTAGGCATTAGCCTAACTTAAAATCCTAGCGATAGTAGATTAAAAAATATTAATATGGACGAAAGTTATGCCATTTTTTCAAAAATTCGAAAATTCGAAATTTTTAGTTTTTTCATATACTTTAGTGAATTGTACTTAAACTTGGTACAGGGTTAATTTTAGTGTTTTTTATGAAGATTTAATCGTCAGAATTTTTGCTAATTTTCCATAATTTTAGATTTTTTACCAAAGGGTGGAGACTATTAAATATAAGTAAAGTATTTTTGAAGAGTACAAAAATAATGAAGCTTAATGATATAAAAGAGAAGAAAAAAATGTTAAATTTTAAGAAATTCGGTTTCTCGAATTTTTGATAATTTTTGATTTTTTGCTAAAGGGTGGAGACTATTCAAATAGTATAATTATACTACCGAAATAGCTAATGGTAACTAATTATTAATTAATTAATTATTAACTAATTATTAATTATTATTAATTAACTAATTATTAATTATTAATTATTAATTAATTTATCCCGGGTATTTTTGATTTTCCGCAGATTGGTAGAAACATTGTTAAATGTATTGGTAGAAACTAAAACCCGTCGAAGACGGGTACGACATGACAGCTAGTGCTATATATTTTCAAAATTTTTAAAATTCAAAATTTATCTTTTGAAATAATTATTGTCATTATTTTTACTTAAATTTTATACAGGGTTAATTTTAGTATTTTTTATTACAATTTAGTCATCAGAATGAAATTTGAGTTTTTCATTTTTTGATCATTAATTAATAAATATAATAGCAATTTTGAATTCTGTGCAACATACTGACAAAAGTCTCATATTAATTATATGGATATTGTTAATATTCTGACCTAATAGAATTCTTTTAAGAAAGTAAACTTATGATTTCAACAACAAATTTTTATTGTTGACCTAAGAAATACAACCGTATAAAAATTAATTACAAAAAAATTTCAATTTTTAAACTTTTTAATTTTTCAATATTTAAATCTAACACTTTTTACTTGTTATTCAAAATTTTATTATTCTGACGATTAAATCTTCATAAAAAACACTAAAATTAACCCTGTACCAAGTTTAAGTACAATTCACTAAAGTATATGAAAAAACTAAAAATTTCGAATTTTCGAATTTTTGAAAAAATGGCATAACTTTCGTCCATATTAATATTTTTTAATCTACTATCGCTAGGATTTTAAGTTAGGCTAATGCCTAAAAGACTGCCAAATTTCACTTTAATTGGTTGAACCGTTTTCAATTGATGCGCGAACAAAGTTTTGCATACAGACAGAGACAGACAGACAGAAATTTTTTTTACATTTTTAGAATTCTAATGTCTCAAAACGAAAAAATATATAAAAAATTTCAAGTTTGGAGCAATGTACAGATATTAATCTGATTTTATTAATATAGATAATGTTCGTTCACATTAATAACTTTTAGTTTACTATAGCTACACTAAAAAAAGTTATATGATTCAAGTAATTATAATTATTTGAAAAATAATATCTTATTTAAAAAGTTTTTATTTCGATCTAATAAGAATTTATTTCGTTTAAATAATTTTATTTAGTTGAATCAAATAAATCTTAATTGGATTAATTAAATAAATACTTGACTCTAATAAATAAATTTATTTAACACAAATCATTTCTAAATTTTATATTTTTTCATGGATTGCTTCTAAACTTTCTATAGTTGAGTATTACATGTTATTTAGTCACATTTTAGCATAATTTTTCAAAAATACTTTCTTATAACGAAGATGTAAGTATAAAAATGTTTTGAATATCAAAAAATTGAAAAAATTATAATTGATACCAATTGCTATGAAGCTTAATTCAGTAGTATTTGTGGGCTCTCTGATTTAACTTTTAGAGATATCTTGATCAATGTAAAGACAAAAGTTAAACACGGTGTTTATTTTGGTTTAAAACAATTTCCGGCTTTGTCCAAATTTTTCCTGGTTTACTGGACGGGTTTTTTTTAATAATACATTTAACAGGGTGTTTACCAACCAGAAAAGACGTAAAATATCAGGGAATTTAATGTAACCGAGAAAAACTGGATCTACTTGCTATACAATTAGTTCGAATTAGACTGTACTATAACTCAAAAAACTGGAGGAAATTTTAGATTTATTTTAATACATTATATTGATTGAAGTACTACAAATTGAGAAATATTGTTTTCTGCATTTGAATTAGTTAAAAATAACTAATTTGATAATAAAAAGTCGGTCACTGTTTCAAATGGTATTATTTTCCTAATGAAATAGACAATAGTAACTAATTATTATTTTTTCCCTGTCAAATCAAATTCCCGGCTATTTTCCGGTTTTCTAGGTTGGTAGATACACTGTTAATTGCATTATCAGAAACTACAACCCGTCGAAGACGGGTACGACAGCTAGTATATATATATATATATATATATATATATTACGGTCAATGTCGATTATTGGGCAATGTCGACAATGCCCGGTCAATGTTGACAATGCCCAAAATCACTGGGCATTGTCGACATAGCCCGGTCAATCTCGACATTGCCCAAAATGAGTGGGCATTGTCGACATTGCCCGAGTATTTTTATTAAGGGTGAAAGAAATGTGTTAGTGCCCGGGCATTGTCGAAAATGCCCGGGCAATGTCGACATTGCCCACTCATGTTTGGGCAATGTTGTTCAATAATGCCAATTTTTTTCTTCTCGTGTTAATAATAATATTTTTATTTGTTCTTGCAGGACAAACTGCTGTGACATTTCGAATTACATTTTTTGTTACTTTTGAAGCACTTGCACTTATTCTGTGCACATCCGGTTTTGCAGTTGCATAGTTCGTAGCCTTGTGCACCGAATACACTGTTTTGAGAAGCAGCTTCTCTGAGGGATACTTTTTTAGCCGAAACATTTTCGACATTAATCAATTTTCCGGCACATTTGAAAAATTCGCTTCTCACATACTTTTTATTTAATGTTCCATGCTCATTTCCTAAAATAAATAAATAAATAAAATAAATATAAAAATAAATTAAAAATAAAATAAATAAAAAAATAAATAAATTATAAGTTAATTAATATAAGTCAATATATAAATATGAAGCCACAGAATTCACCCACCTAGAGTGTAATAATCGTTATCAATATTTATAACAGCTGCTAAAATGTTTCTCGGTGCTCCCCTTGCTCTGTCCACATCAGGAATAGGTAGTCTAACCATGGATCCAATTGCAATAGGCGGTTGACTTTGTTCAGAAAGCTTCAACATTTTTTTGGCTTGTCTTCCTAAGCACTCTCTTGCGTTTTCTCGATTTGTGGATATGTCTCGAAATCGCTTTGTTATCGGATTGTCTAAAATTAAAAAGAATTATAAACTTATTATTGTAAATAAATAGAGATATAATAAAATTTCTTATAAATACCAGGTTTAAACAACTCCACAGTTGCATCTTGACGTGAGATTAAAGTTTCAGTATTTTTTGTTGCCTCCAGGTCTATGGAAATGGTATTATTAAAAATTTCATTGTTTGCATCATTGCAAATTTCAATATTAGGCAACTCTAAATTTGATTCTATTGTTGCAGCTGGTTGCGTCACACTTGTTTTGTTTTGATTTTCCGCGTTTTCTTTACAAATCCTGTCGATATCTTCCTCTGTATTAATATTATTAATTTCTGAATGTGGTATGCCAATTGATAAAAGGCCGACTTGTGCGGAACAACCGAACATTGCCTCGAAAGGTGAACGACCTATTCCTAAACACAAAGTATCATTGAGGTTTTCAGAGAGATTGACAATAAAAATATTCAATTATTATCAATATTTATTAAATGCTATTAGAAATCAAATCTCAACAATTAAAAGCAAGATTTACATATTTCAAAATTAAATTATTCAATTTGACAAAATTTATATAACTTTAACTGTGTAATTAATTTATTTATTTATATAATTTTATGTAATTAAAAAAAAATTAATTAATTAAAAAAAATAAATTAATATTTAAATAAATAAATTAATGTTTTATGTAATTTAAATAATAAATTAATTAATATTAATAATTAATTTAATTTAAATGAAAATTATTTCAAAATTAGATTACTTATTATTTATTTTCCTACCTGCATGAAATGAACGATTTTTACGAAATTGGACAATATCTAGAGCATTGGGCCAATCCTTCGAATGATTTTCTTCCATCCACGCGGATAAAATTTCTTCAATGTCCCTGTTAGCTCTTTCAACTGAACCTTGGGACTGACTATGACGGGGTTTTCCGTGAACAATTTTGACTTCACTCCACATCTTATGAAGTTCTGTTATTACAGAATTCACGAACTCTCGACCATTATCGGAGTGAAGTATAGCGGGCGCGCCAAAAAGAGTATAAATCTTCATTAAATTTAAAGAAATTTCTTCCGCTCTTTTGGACTTCAGAGGACGCAAGTTGACAAATTTTGTCAAGTGATCTTGGTATACCATTATAAATCGAAATCCATTGTGTTCTTGCGATTGCATGTCGATTAAATCCAGTTGAGCTCTTGAATTGTATGCTGAGTGTAAAATGGGTTTTGATACGAGGCCCCTCTTCTTGTTAGAACTTTTTTTCTGGCAAACGATGCACAATTTCAAAAACTCCATGATACTTTCCCTTGTCACGTTGCAATACATTTTTTTACACTCAAATTCCATGCGGTTTCTTCCTCCATGCCCAATCGTGGAATGTACATTAAAAAGAACTTCAACGAGCTCTTCATTCTTTACATAATATAAAATTTTTTCATTATCGTCACTAAGCGGTTTAATTAATTTCTGGTGCCCATTCACAGAAATCGTGTCAAATCTTTTTAAAAATCTACACTCATTTGAAGCCTTTTTATTTTTTAATTTTAATATTTCCACTTTTTGCACATATTCCTCGTATTCATCGGAAGAAATAAAAGAACTATTATCTGCACGTTTTGCAGTTATTAATTCCATTAATATATTATTGAAACTAACTTTATCAATTGAATTTTCCATATCGAGTAAAATATCAAACACGTCGATAACTTCTGATAGTTGATTGCAAACTAATCAATATTATTTTCTTTTATTCAAAATAAAGTGATTAAGTATTGAAAGTTGAATGCGAAGGATATAATATTAACTTTGTTTATATCATGACTACTTCATCGACAAAATTTTTAACATTGCCCAAGATAGATCGGGCAATGTCGACATTGCCCGGAAAAGCTGAATATCTTGAAAATTTTCAAACATTGACCGAAATTGACGGGCAATGTCGACAATGCCCAAAATCACTGGGCATTGTCGACAATGCCCAATAATCGGCATTGACCGTAACATATATATATATATATATATATATATATTAAAAATAATGGAATAATAATGGAAGGCTACTCCTGAAAATTGAATAAAGAAGACCGTTAACCCAAAAAAGGAACGTGACGATCCAAAAATAATTTGGCAAAGAGGATCTCGCGTGACAACTATAGAAGAAATTGATATGTCTCCCGCAAATTCGTCGCATGCTTGAAAATTTCCTTATTTTCTCCCCCAAAAACGACATTTCAAATTTACCCAATCCGCGTATAATAAGATAGACAATATAGTCGCGTTCCAATCTCAAAATTGCTTTATAACATGAATTTTATATTTTTTATATAAATTACCTTTTTGGCCTATGAAATGTGTCCGAAATGATGTCATGTTTTTGTCTTAAGTTCTTCATATTCTTCCTTTGCGACAAACATTTTTCAAAAAACTTTATTTAAAATACTATTTTTAATAGGAGCTTTCAGGGTCATTGATTACAAATTTTAAGTCCGTTTTCGAAATTCAAAATAGCGGCGAATTTTTTAAAACTTATCAAACTCATTTGAACTTGACAAGCAAGATGAGTCAAGCTCTGAAACAACATTTCTTTACAAATAAAAAAGAAAAGAATAAAATCAGCTGACAATATGAGGACATACATAATAAGCATGTGATATTACTTTATAGTTGTAACAAGTGTACAGTTCTTGATTCTTATATGTCACCTATTTAATCATCGACTCTGAAATTCCGCAGGTTACAACTTTCAAGTGAATGCATACACGAAAAAAATTTGTCGCTTTTCAGCGACTAATCAAAGACTCTCGGATATGAACAAATATTTTACGGAGTTTTGGAAATGTTCTATGGGTTTAGTAGAAATTCTTAAAAAAAAAGTGGCCGAATTATAATTGTAACACTTTCATAGAAGGTTTCGTCGACGAGTCGAAGAAATTGGTGCGCGCAAAATCTCAAGCGTTAAAAGCAATGAACACTGTTTATTTTACCGTTTGCAGTGTACAATTTATGACAATTGATTGACAATATTTCAAATTATTAATATTATTATCAATATTGTTTATTGGGTTGATATTAATAAATACATTAAACAATTTTAATTTAAAGTAATTATAAACACAATAATGACAGAGAGTAATAAAAAATAATCATAAGAAATCTTTTTAAATTAATTTATATAAAATAATTGTTTGAATTAATCATTATTTTAATAAAGTAATTTGTTCTTCTACATATCTGATAAATTAAATAATAAAAAATAAAAAAATACCTGTCAAATAGACCTAAATGCATACTAAAATAACCGACAGATTAGCTCAGTCGGATAGATGCCTCGCTTGGCGGTCGTTTAAGAACCAAGGGTATAAGTATACCCTTGGTTCGCGCTCATTTGGCTTGGTATTTTTCCGGCACGTGAGAAAATCTGAGCTGGAGGTTTGACGTCGAGGTATAATGATGTGCACCGTCGATTATTGTTCGGTACACAATTAGAACTCGACTGTCGATAAATCGGTCGTACTCAAGAGAGGTTTTCTACAGTTTCCCTCTTCTCTGGCGAGAAAACCCATTGACGGGTGGTCCAGGCGGAATGCGAGTACTCCTAATAAAAGTCGGCTGTAGACGCAAATTAGGTTAATATATAGAAAATTTCATAAGTAGAATGGTTATGCTTAATCCAAAAAAGTATTTCTCGGGGACTCTTGTCGAAGTGCGTAAGGCCAATAGGGCAGGAGTATAAACAATAAAAAAAAAAATGCATACTAAAATACTATTGAAAATTCCAAATCTTTGGATTTATTTTCAAAAAATACGTAACCAAATAACAAGATTCAAGTAAATCCGTTGAATTTTTCAAAATTTGTCCGACATATTAAATTCGCCATTTTTAATTTTTTAAAAACGAATTCCAAATTTGTAATCATCAATCTCGAAAATCCCAGAGTAGGGGAGACTGGGGTAAACCCGCGCACAGGGTAAACCCGCTCACCAGCGATTTAACGCGATGAACTCAACTTAAGATGGAGATATTGATACTGTGAATAGTACTTACCATTCAACTTATATTAACGAACTTTCGTTTAGTTTCATGAATTTAACATAGAATCAGAGGCAATCAAATGTTTTTAGAGGTATCAGAAAAAAAACGTTTTTTGGATTTTTAAGTTTTTCGATCATTATTTTTGAGTCTTAATTTATTTGGCAAATTTTTTTTTGTTGCTATTGGATGTCCTTTTTCGAAGTACATGCATAGTTTTATCTTATTTCAAAAAGATTTAATTAAATTTATCCTGAAATGTGAGGAATACACTCGGGGTAAAGTCGCTCACGTGAAGTCGGGGTAAACCCGCTCACTTAGTTTTTAATTTAAAATTTAGAATAAAATAATTTCACGTATTATATTTCAACAATAACACAATTTATGACTTATTAAAACCAAAATTGTAACTACATTTCACTTTCTCTTAATAAAATATAACACTATTTAAATCCATAGTAGTAATTCATGAAATATTTGTTCATTATTTATTAAACCAATTTGTTGTTTATAGAAATGTTTATATAACTCATAAATTATCAATAATAAATCATACTTAAGACGGGAATAAGACGAATTTTAATATTTAAAAAATAAAACTGTTCCGTCTTGAAAAGATGAAGTGAGCGGGTTTACCCTGGAAAATTGTGATTTCGAAATTTGGTATATGTGTATTAAAAAGTTTCTCTAAGTAAAACTAAAAAAGATAAATCAAAAACTCTTTTTTATTTTTTTAGTAGAAATCATAAGCTTTCAAATGATATAAATTAACTTGGATTTAGAGAATAATTTCCTAGATTTTTACCGATCTGAAAAAAAGTAAGCGGGTTTACCCCAGTCTCCCCTACGCAATATATTACGAATTTACCTAAAAGTTTGTTTAAATTCAACAAATCTTCTTTTGACTTGCCTGTTTGTATTTATTTGAACTTTTAAATTGTAAAATACGTAAATAAATTGCTTTGTCATTATTTACAATTGAAATGGCATTGTTATTACTGCTTTTGGAATTAAGTAAATGAAGAGCAAGAGGTAAATTTAATTCACATCTTGCTAGTCAGAAATAGGTCAAGTTTAACCTAAATTATAAAGAAACGTAAATACAAATGACTGATAGATTAAAAAAATGTTAAATTTGACACTAAGGGAGGCATAACTTTGAAAGACCTAATTTTATAAATAAATGTTTAGAGTTTGTAGTGTATGAATTCTTGGTGCAATATCAAGATACGTGGTGCTTTAAAAAAATTTTAAAACTAAAAGGTAAACTATATAAATTTTTTTAAAATAAATTTTCTGTATGACAAGTTATTATACATTTCATTGTCAGGTTTTACATTTATTTACAGTATAGTAATTCACTTTATATTGCTTTAACATATTTACTATACTGTATTAAGAATCTTTCAATGAATGTAAGGATTAAATATTTCATAGAAAGGCTTTCTATTTTAAGACAGTATTGTAATTTATTTCACATTGATCCAAATTTTATTCATATTTGTCTTTATTTTCTTTAAACTTTATTGTAATTGTTATGAATATTAATTTGAGATACAGTATTGAAACATTTTTAAAAAGTGAATTTTCTCCAACTTTTTAATACAAAAATTAAAACATTCTTTAGACTTTTTCTTTCCGTGTTCAACTACATTTTAAAAGAAAATAATTGAATAAATTTGCTTTTATTTCACAATTTCATTACTTTGGCAAAGTAAAATTACATAAGTAGAAAAGGAAATTAGGTCTTCTTTAAAAAAAAAAAAAATTTGATCAAAAAAACATTTTTTTAATTTGATCAATTTTTAAAAATATTTTTAGGTTCATCCACCATATTGGATCCGCCATTTTGAAAATTTAAAATTTGACGTCAAATTCGTATTCAGCGACCTCAAAAACCCCCTAGAAGCCAGATTCAAGCAAATTTGATCAATTTTTAAAAATATTATTTTTAGGTTCATGCGCCATATTGGATCCACCATTTTGAAATTTGAAAATTCGATTTAAGATTCTTATTCAGCAACCTTAAAAACTTCTTTTTACCAAGTTGAATAAAAATCTATTAAAATTTGTTCAAGTTATTCAAGTTTTTACATTACTAATTTTGTAATGGTTGATTGTTTATTTTATATGATACATTATCAGTAAACTGGTTGATTCACTATACATCTACGAAGAATTTTTTTCAGTTTTTCCATCCCTTAAAACAGTAGTATACTTGATATAACTTGTTTCTTAAACCTCGCTTAACTACAGTGGTGTTTACATTTACCTAGTGATGCACGTCGAACCGATA